AAGGCTTGAGCAAGAAGGTAAAAAACTCTCCCTCTGTTTCTCCTTTTCACGTTCAGTGAAATAAAATTTCTCTCCTTAGGCAGATGAGGATGACTCATTTTAGACACAGCAGTGCCATATAGAAATATTCATATACAGTTGCGTAAGTGTTCTTAACAAGTACTACTGTGTCCAAATGACAAAAAAACATGAACTTGTCTGAGTAAAGCAAAGTTATAACACTAGACATGTTCCTTTAAAAAAAAAAAAAATCCTGTATTTTCAGGTTCCTTTAATACTGAAAAAGGTTTTGGTGCTTAAAGATATATTGAAGTATAAATATTGTTTTTACATAGTAGAAATGTAAAATTCTTCAAGCATTCTTCATTCTTTAAATGCATAAAAGGACTTGTCCCTCAGTTATCTTTTGGTCGCTTTTCACTATTTTCTTGAACACAGCAACCAGAAGCCAAAATGATTAAGAAAGATTACTGACGAATTAGAAAAGTCAAAGAATATCACACAGTGATTAAACCACAGACTGGTTTATTTTAGCAACAATCTGAACAGTTAAAAATTATACTGTACCGTGGTACTTTAGAATGTAAACACAAACATACTGAGCACTGTGGGCTTTTGTCACCAAAAGCAACACTAATTTTGCAAACAAATCACTTTCATACTGCAGTACTGACTGATACGGGACATGGCGGTTCAAAGGAGATTAATTAGGATAACCAGTTCGACCTCATAGCTTGCTCTAACAGATTCACCATTCCTATGGACCTGAAAGGTCCTGCCTGTTCACTGTTACTGTGGTAATAGCAGAAGGAACTTGGCACGAATTCGTTCACAGAAGGGGTGCTCAGGCATTGGCACGGACTGCCCAGGGAAGCGGTGGAGTCACAGGCTCTGGAGGTGTTTAAGGAAGGACGGGATGTGGCACTTAAGTTCCTCGGTCAAGTTGACACGGTGCTGTTCGGTCCTAGGCCGGACCCGACGATTTGAGTCGTTTCCCACCCTGCCGTTTTCGTGATTCTGTCACAGACCGGCTTCGCTCGCAAGCTTCGGGCCGGCCTTTCCGCCCGGGATGGGTCGCGGCGGGTGCCGCGGCAAGGGAAGCGCACGGGTGGCTCGAGGGGGAGGGGGGTAAGCGCACGGGCGGCTCGGTGGCACCGCACGGGCGGCTCGGTGGCAGCTCGGGGGCGGTGCCGGTGCCGGAGCTCCGGGCGGTCCCACCGCTGTTCCGCCGTTCCGGCGCTGCCCCCGCCGGGGAGCTCGGAGTGCGGGTGTGGGGGGGGGCGGGGCACGCGCTCTCCCGCCACGTGACGCGGGCCGCTCCGCTGTCATCGCGAGGCCGGGAGGGCGCCGGCCCCGGCGGGAGCAGCGCGCGCAGGGACTCGCCTGGCCTGAGGCGGCGGCGGCTGCTGCTCCTGCCGCTCCTGGTGCCGCTGGATCCGCTCCGGGACAGGTGCGGGGCGGGCGTGCGGGAGCAGGGCGGGATAGAGCGCGAGTCCCTCGGCGGGGCAGCGCCGGCCGGGCCCGGGGCGGGGTGGGGGCGCGGGCAGAGCTGCCCGAGCGCTCCACGGGGAAAGGTGGCACCTCCCGCGGCCGAAACGGAGAGCCCGCCCCGAGGGGCAGCTCCGGCCGCCAGCGCTGGGTGGCGGCTGCCGCCGAGGCGGGGAAGCGAAAGCGCAGCTGTGGGAACGGCTGTGTAACGCTCCGTCCACGCAGCCCGCACACGCGGGGAAGCGGTCGGGCGGCTTCCCCGCGTGTGCGGGGTGCGTGGACGGAGCGAAACGGCGTTATCTCTCTCCGTGTCCTGCTGCACTGAAATTATCGTGGGCTTTCCACGCAGCGTCTTTTCCGTGCATCTCGTTCGTTCCTGCGCGTCTCTAGGACCTTGAAGTTGGGCGCGGAGCAAAACGCTCGAATTAAGCGCCGGTTCCACGTGTATCTGTGTTTACGGTGGCACACGCGTTCGGAGCTGGTTTTGGGATCGGGGCCCTGTGCCTCCCTAATGCTCTTCTCTTAATGAGCTTTCTCTCTTCTTTATTGGATTTTAGATGGCAATCTAAAATGGGAAGTGCATACAAAAAAATTATTTCTGATAGCTTAACTGTGTTAGGAAAAATACTGGATGTCCGCGTGTTTGTTAAAAAATGATGCTAGCTCGGAGAGGCTACTTTTTGTCACTCTACAATGGGATTTATTTTTCTGTCCGTACTATAGCATTTGTCTTGGGCTTTATCCTTACTTTAACTTGAACTGTGATAACTTGCTGGTGGCATTGCTTCAGGCAAGTACCTTCCAAACACAAGAAAATGGAAAACACAAGCATGGTTTCCGTTTCAGTAGTTAAGATGATAATAAGTTGAAGCACTGCCCCTTTCTCGACTTCGGTTTGGAGGGGTGCTGGTGTTACTGATTACTGGCATCTGATGGTTTTCTATTAGCTAAGTGCAGATACAGATGTGCATAAAAGCAATTTCCTTTCCAGGGATTGACCCTGGAAACAATAGGTGTCATCCAAATACGTGGACATGAGTAAATAGCTGTTGGATTAGGATATAGATGAGGGAAAAATCTTCAGTCACTGTTGGTTTTAGAAAGTAATTTGATTTAGGTTTTTTTTTTTTTTTTTTTTTTTTTTTTTTTTTTTTTTTTTTTTTTTTTTTTTTTTTTTTTTTAGTGGTAAATATGATGAAATGGGAAAAAATTAAACTCCCATAAATTTAAGTCCTTAATTATTGATGAGTATTGCATGCGGAATTTTATATCTCTTGACCTGATTTCTAAACAAATCAGTTAAATAGCTCTGCACTAAATCTGAATGCACAACCACCAGAGTGATTCAAATCCCAATGTTGTCAACGGCTAATTATTGAGTATTCCTAAGGTTTTAGTAGGAGACACACTACTTAGTAAAAGATATGATTTTATATGCAATTTTTAATAAAAATATTGAATTGAGTAGATGTAAGCTTTTCTGAGTTTAACCAGCTCTAGATTGGTCTCATTCTTAGTTCTGCAGTTAATTCAGTTATTTACTAACTTTTTTCTTAGGCTTCTTTTGCTAGGAGTGTTTTATCAGCATAATGATGAACAGAACATGAATGGTGTTTGTGGTGGTGTCAGTTTTGGTCAAATATGTTGTAAAAAGGTTGTATTTTTACTTTACTATCCTCAGTGTAAATTGGAAAACTCCACGCTAATACCTAATTTTAGTCCATGTGAAGCTGTACTACAGTAATTCTGTTAATACAAGATATTTTCAAGTTCCCTGAATGATCTCAAGAATCATTTAAAAGGTGATGTCCTTAAATATTAAGATTTTAGTACATATCTAGTAAAAAATCTCCATAGTTATTTGATAGCTTGATATTTCATATCAAAATGAACAAGTGATGTGTTGAGTTCTTGATTTTCATTTACATTCACAGGCAGACCCATAGGATATTTTGAACATGCACATTATTTTATACTTGCAGGATAGTAGTTGTTGTGTAATCAAATCATGTAATGAAGAAGGTGTTAATAAAAATTTGCTCATCCAAAGTCCAGAATGTGTTATAAACTCTTATTGTAGTTTTGATTTATGAAGACTTGGTGTTTACTTCAGGTTTCTTGGATGCCATTGTGTGTCATAAAAAATTCTTCTGTAGGCTTGCACTTTCCTCCAACTTTATTTCACCTGTTCAAAATTGTGGGTTGGCATGTAGTGGTTGAGTTTTTGGCTTTGTACGAGTAGTCATGTTACTGAGGTATGCAAATATTCATTTTTATAATTAATTCTGTTTACATCTATCATTTGTGGGACAGTATACCCTGAAAACTGAGGACAGTATGAATGAACAAGGATTACAAACTTGTCAAGATTCTAAATTTAAGGTGTTAAATTGAAAGATTTAAAATTCAAACCACATCTCTTTATGAAAACTGATTATGGAAAAAATTTTAATGTCTAATCAGTTTCGCTTTCTGATTCTCAGATGTGGTGGAATAATTCAGATACAGGTATTATGGGGAATTTTCACAAACAAAATACATTCCAGTTTCTTTTTGACATTTCTGCCTGTAAAAGGTAGAGTCACTCAATTGGGGCTGTTGGGTTTTAGCTCATTAGACCTGTGATTTTCTACTGGGTTTTGTCTGATAAAATTAAAAGACCAGTTACTAGAAGGTACCTTGTCTGTAAGAAGACCTAGATAAGTACTCCTATTCCTGGTAGATGCTGTATGACAAAAATTATTGTGCTGAGACAGGTTTTGTTTAATTTTCACAGTTTATTTCTTTGATTAAAAGAATATGTAAGTTGTTAAAATGGTAAATGAACCTATGGCTTTGGAGGTGGATAAATTGTTTATAATCAGAAACGGTTTTGAAAAAAAAAAGAAATTTTGAATTAAAGTTAAAATAAGGGAAATGTGTAGAATTTTGCTAACTGAGCTATGAATAAAGGCATAGAAATAAAAAAGTGTAAGAAACTCCCTAAGTTTAGGAGTCAAACTCTTCATATTTAGGTTGATTCAGTGAAGTACTTGGAGTATTTGATTTGAATCAACGATGATAAATATTTCAAAACTGAGATCAGTAAAAATCTCCAAAATTTGAGAAATGATTAATTAATAATAAAAGAAAAGCTTTTTCTTAACTGGTTTGTCGCCTTCAAGGTTATAGGTATGGCTTATATTTTAGTTGGTGAAACTTCTAAACTCATATTGTTCTTTTGTTGTCCCTGTGGAAATCTCCTTGAGATACACGAATCCTTGCAGAATTGTAGAAGCATAGAATATCCTGATCAATGATCCGCAAGGATCATTGAGTCCAACTCCTGGCCCTGCACAGGACACCCCAAGAATAACACCATATACCTGAGAACGTTGTCGAGAAGCTCCTTGAACTCTGCGGGGCTTGGTGCTGTGGCCCCTCCCTGGGGAGCCTGTTGTGGTGCCCAGCCACCCTCTGGGTGAAGAATATTTTCCTAATATCCAGCTCAAACCTCCCCTGATGCAGCTTCATGCCATTCCTTTGAGTTGAAAAGAATATATATGTTTTGATATATATGTTAAGGAGTTGTTAAATCCAAGATATAAGAGTATCTTTTGGGAGGAGACCTGCAAAAGCAGTTAATTACATACCATGTAGTTAGGGAGACTTTTTTGAGAAATACGTATTGGCAGAAATTACAGACCTAGTAGAACTCTTTGAAAGTGTTTAATCAGGAAACAGTTCACATCCACCACCTGCATTTTGTATTCCCATCAATATTACATACTACCTTAGCAATGAATATTTTTCTGAACTTTTGGGTACTTGGCCTTTTGAAAACTGAGAGCTAGGCCAAACCACTGTCCGGACTCTGTCAGGACTGCACCCAGATTTGATAATGTTGCTACACCATTGTGTGAATTCATGGTTTACTTGCATCTTGAATAGTGCTTACAGCTTTAATATCCAATTCCCATGACTAAAAATAATTTACTGGAACTAGTAAAGATCCATAAATAGGATACAATGATGATCAGAAATGTGGAATGGATTTTCTGTGGTGAGACTGGAAGTTTTCAACTTGGAAGACATTTACTGCATGAGACCATGGTAGAGATCTGTAAATCATGTATGTTCAGAAAGTAAATATGAGCAGTTAGATAACTGTTCCCAGTGTGCACTTCAGATATCAGATAAAACTAAAATGTGAAATAGTCAAAATATACAGAGGAAGAAGATACATCACTTAGCGTATTGTTGATTGTAGAGTGCTGTGTTGTGAGATGTTTTGGATACTAAAGGCCAACAAAAATTCAGAATTGTGGGGCAAAAATCATGGAACTCCACCAAATGCGAGTAATATCCACCATGTCTAAGGATTCCTTGATATATACATCGCTGAAGAATTAGATGGTATTCTGAAAAAGTATATTATAAAGCTACTCCTACACTTACTGTTTACTAGATGTCTGCTGTTAGCAGCTGTGGAAACTTGATAGATCTGACTTGCTGTTGCTGAAGCCTGTTAAGTACCGACTAGGACTATGGATCTCATACCTGTGTTTTCATTAAAAAAAGTAAAGACTCCTGAAACATGGGTGGGGCAGGGTGGCCTGCCCCATAAGGCCTGGAATCCGATCAGAGAATGCATACAATGCAAGCCATTATGCAGGTCATTATGCAGGCCATTAAGCAAGTTCTACTCCTGGAGCCAGGGTGCTGGCTTGGTGTTGAATTATGTTAAAACCAGCCGGGTTCACCAGGCTTCAGATACACATCCTGGTTTTTGAAGCAGGTTTTGACCGATAAGTTTGCATCTTGGATTATGTAAAGAATTGTAGCATTAATTAGATTTCATCTTGATGTATGTGAACTTTCCTAGTATTGAACTCTGGTGTTTTCGTTTACGTTGAGTAGGTTTCTGGGGCCACTTACTGGCATAGATGTGGGTGACTGAATTTTGCTGACCTCATGTTTTCACTTCTGTAGTATTAAGACAAATACAGCATTAATATACTCCTGACTGATGATTTGAGGATTTGAACAAGGCCTTACAAAGGCTATAAGCTTTATAAAAGGAGGATCAGATTCTTTAACCTAGCTACTGGCTTTTTAGCTGGCAACTTTGACAAACTACGCACTCGTATTTTATCTAGGTTTTGAGTTGTTTAATCGGATATCTTTCAAGACATGGGCAAACTATTTGGTCACCAAGAAACTGAAGTTTTATGGACAGGCTTTGCAGTTTATTGGATCAGGTCATAGTTTGGGCTTGTTTGGCTAAAGCTTTCCCATGATTAGCTAAAAAAGTTTCTTTCACTGTTAGCAAAGTACTAATGCATGCTAATTTGAGTGGAGTATATAATTTATTCACATTGTCCTCTGCTTTTCTAGATAGTAATGGGCATTTTTTTCAAGTGCAGTACTGTCTTACAAGGGCACAGAAAATAGCTGATTACAGTGCTGGTAGTAGGGATTTAAAGTAACTGTAAAATTTCCCTGGGTATATTTTCTTGTCTTTCCATTTCATAATGTGCAGCCTAAATGGGCATATATTTTTATAACTCGGTATTTACTAATGTCTTGCACATTTTAATTGTGTAATAGTAAATTAAAACTCTGAAAGTTTTATTTCTCAAGTTGTACAGCTTTGTAATATCAGAAGATAGGTAGTTATGTATACACCTCAGTGTTATAGTTGAGTCAGTGATAGTGTGATTGCAGTGTGGATTTTACATTAGAACAGCCTCCTAATAGTTATGCTCTTGTCTGCAACAGAACCTCTGAAAGCCTCTTAACTCTTAAACTGGACTGTATACTATGTTCTCTTGTGTTAATGCTTTGACTAGGGTATAACTGAATTTTTGCATGTGAGAAGAAGAACAAAAATAGACAGTGTTTGGAGAAAGTATGTAGGATTCTTGAATCCCACAAAGTCCTTGAGAGAATTACGTAGTATGTTAGAAGTTAATAGAATTGAATTGGAAGGCCAACATTTTTTGGGTGGTTTGTAGCTTATTGTTTTTTGTGGTGAATTTAAAACCTGTATCTCGGTATTGATAGTTACTGTTTATTATTGCATTTGTAATGAACAAATGCAATACTAAAATAGGTTGTAGTTGTAAAGGTGTTAAATTACCAAGAAATCATAAAATGAGTAGCAGCATCTAATTAGTGGACTTACAGCATAACATTTACTGCATAGCTTTTATGATCTTTCTGCCTCTTACACTAAGGATGCTACAGAGTAGAAACTCCTCAAGGTGTATTCTTACAAACATTGTGCTTATCAAAGAGCAGTTTTACCCAGTAAGTTAATGAAAAGGCATTTTTTTATTGTGGAAGATGAGTTTGATTGGGCAGTTTATTTGCAGCAAAAGAAGCCGATTGGTGTGTGTGGTCATTGCTTAGGGGCCTCAGATGCATGGAAGCAGATAGAGAAAAGATCTTGTGAAATACAGGATTTGTATTTTTCACACTGCAGTGAAACTGGGCAAAATTCTGTCTTTCCAGTGCTGTACCTGTGTTCATGATGTGCTGAAAGTTATTCTGCTTGTGATACAAGTTGAAGTTCATCACGATACAATTCAGTTATATGCTTGTGCCTTGTCTTACTTCCAAAGAAGCAGAAGGATAATCCTGTTAGTATATTTACAAACAGGATTTTAGGAATCTAGTGGCCAGACAAGAATGCTGATGTGTGATTGTGGAAGCTAGCATGAGTTAATCACTGGTTATTAATTTGATTAACAATCTTTAAATTAGATAAATTTCTTCATTGTAGCTAGGTGCTAGGATATATTCAATTCATATGGTACGTTGCTATTTTTAAAGCTATTAAAACTGGTATACTTTGGTGAAATGTTTTAGTTAAGAGGAATGTTTATCATACTAATTAATGTCATAATAAGCTTGTTGTGGCTGGTGCATGCAATCAGACACTGGCCAAAATCATCTTGCAGCTTTTCTGGTGTCTGAACCACTTTGATATGGCTTTTTCTTGTCTCCTTACCTCTTTGAAGAAGGAATGTAGGAAGTCAGATATATTTCAGACTTACACCCCTTCAACTTAGACAAATATAATTCCAAAGGAGATAAATTTTTTGGAACACATCCAGGCACTGAGGTTTCTTATGTTCTGCATGTATAGGCAAAACTAGGATTAAAAGGTTCATATTAGGTTACCTTTTGACACTGTCTTTCTATAGGATGATTTGATTTAATATGTTTACATAGCAACTGATTAAATTAATTGGTAAATCAGTTTATAGAAATGCTTTTGGAAATGGGTGTTAGGAAGAAACTAGTTTTAGATTGGGTGTTAGGAAGAATACAGAAAGAATTTAGGGAACGATTTTTACCTATGTGTTATGATAAAATAGCTACTGAGTGCTGGGTGTCTTATTTACAGTTAGTGGAAAGGATTGAAAGGTGTGAAATGGTGAATAATGGAAGACTACTAAATTTTTTCACAGTGAAGAAATAGCAAAGGGTTTGGTTAGAGGAAGGTGTGTGTATGTGTATTTCAACGATGTGTATACTTGTTTAATACATCCAAAGGTGAATGCCTAAAATGTGATTTTGTAAAGTGATGGCACATATTCTGTTTGATTACATATCCAATGTCACTTCACTGTTTGTGAACCATTACAGATAGTAAACACACTTACTGCAGTTTGCAGTGAAGGAAAACAGAGCTTTACCTTTGGTCATAAATCCAAGTTTCATTTTTCTGGGACTGGTCATATCAGCAAGATTATATGTGGAAATGCAATAGATGAGAATAAATGACGTATACAAGCCAGCTATTTACTACTGAGGGAAGTTATTCCACTTACACATGTCAAGGTGTATTTGTCTATATGGACTTGGTAATTTAAATGCAAAAATACCCTCAAATTTAAGTGGTACTGATTTTTGGAATGGGAAAGTGTTGTGGTTTAACCCCAGATTGCAAAGGAGTCACTTCCCACCCCATCTCCAGTGGGGAGAATTGGAAAAACAAAGTAAAACTTGTGAGTTGAGATAAGAACAGTTTAATAATTGAAACATAATAAAATATACTGCTATCAATTGCAGTGAAAAGGAGAGAGAAAAGACTCGAGGGACAAGTGGTGCTCACAATTGCCCTCCATCTGCTGACTGATGCTCAGCCTGTCCCCAGGCAGCTCTTGGCCCGTCATGGCCAGATCCTCAGTTTATGTACTGGGCACATATTCTATGGCATGGAGTATCCCAGTTGGAGTGTGGTGTCTCAGCCATGATCCCTCCCAGTGTCCTCTATACCTGCTCACTCTCATGGCATGGGAAGCCTTGATTCAGAGTAAGCAGTGCTTAGCAACGACTGAAACATCACTGTGTTATCAACTATTCTCATACTGAATCCAAACCCACAGCACTGTGCCAGCTGTCAGGAAGAAAATTAACTGTGTCTCAGCCAAAAGCTGGACACACAGTTGCAGCAATATAGTTAATTTAAATTCAAACAGGGATGGAATATAGTGTAGGGAGGGGAATAGGATATTACTGAAGATGGGAGTGTGGGGAAAGGGATGCAGTTAATTGCTAAGAATGGAAAGTGATATGCTGGGTGAAGTTAGGATGCAAAATGAGAGGAAAAATAAAAATCCAAAAAGCAGACTAAATTTCAAAATACTCACAGGACCATGAAGCAAGAAAAGATGGAAAGGCATCTTATCTTGCACATACAGCTTTCTTGAGCAGTGATTCATACAAAGCTAGAAGAGACATGAAGCTAATGAAATTAGCGGCTAATACACTGACGTACAAGCAAAACGTATGGTTACAGTGGGTGGCATAAAAAAAGATGGTTGCATGCATTTTACAGATGTTAAAAATGAGGGAATGAATCATGTGCTCAGGAAAGTGAAATCAGTAAAAAGCTAGTCACAGCTGAGTTATTTGTATTCTGGGATGAGCTTTTTTGTAAGATTAATGAAGAGTTTTGTGATCAATAGATCACACATGGTGATGTATGGTTGGAAATGGTTGGAAGTTGCAACACCTGAAGATAATGTATACATGTCAGTTGCCTAAAGATCAGTCCTTTCATGAGTACTACATCTTGGTTTGAAATAGAAATATGACTTTTTTTAGTCATCCTTAGTGTAGAAATGGAAATAAGAGGAAATGCTCATTTTATGTGTATCACTTGAGTACTGTTTACTGTTGCAGAGGAGTAGTGTAGTCCTGTTGTTAAAATGCTGATGTGAGAGCTAGGAAATAAAGCACTTTTCTGGATTTGCAGTGTGAGTAGGAAAGCGAGTAGTTGCTGTTTACCATTTACTAAATGGGAATAGTGATATTTTATCAAACATGTGGTTTTGTTACTCTTGTAGATTGTGCCTGTGTAATATACCTCTAGATACAGAACATCCAGATGGATCTACACAGGGAGATGCCAGGTTAACTTGGGAAAACATGCTGTATAAATAGAGGGATGGACTGCACTGTGTACATGTCACTTAAAACAGTGTTTGTGCTGGGTAAAAGCTGAGTATTCCTAAAAGAGTAAAGTGAAAAAGTAAACATTTGTTTTGTGCCTTTTATACTAGTGTGGGCAGACGATTTTAGAAGCTTTTTTCGTGTCTGAAACCAAGTATGTTGAATCTCAGAATTTGTTTTACAGTTTATACTCTACAATGTATGTTATTTTTTTCTTTTTTTCTCTTTTTTTTTTTTTTAAAGCTGGATTGAAAGCAAATCAAAATGGCTGCTGTCATCTCAGATAGTCCTCCGAACCCAAGCTGCAAAATCATGACTTTTAGGCCTTCAATGGATGAATTCAGGGAATTCAACAAATACTTAGCATACATGGAATCACAGGGTGCTCATAGGGCTGGAATTGCAAAGGTAAACATCTATAACATGGTAGGAAAAGTGATCCTAATACTCATTCTCCCAGTATTTGTATTTTGCTGATTACAATCCCTGACCTTTTTAGTATTTAAAATTCCAAATGATTTTCAATGAATAGGTACTGATCTGTTACTGTTTTAAGAAAGAGCCTTTCAGTATCTCTGATATTTCATGCAGACTAATGATGATGTATACTGTTTCTGTTAATTGTTTACAAGTTTACAATAGCAAAATAGGATCTCATTTTGTGTAGATATAAACTAGTTTTTGTCAAATCAGAACTAAACAGAGAGTCCACAATATAAACTAGTCTTGAACAGGTGTTGAACTCGGTCTTTTAGGGTTATGTAAAGCTGTAGTGATGCAAATAATCCCAATACCTTCAATGGTGGTGTATGTGAGGCACTGTTTGAATGGAAATAGTTTTCTTTTTAAGGGTTATCATGTTATCTCTTTGTTAATGAGCATTGAAGGTACATTGTCTGTGACTGTATTGCCCTTTGAACAATGGCACCTTCAGGACCTTACAGCATGTGTCCCTCCCCTCACAGAGAGTGATTGTCAGAGGTTAAGTCTGATGTAGTTTAGTGATACATTATATAAGTATTTATGGTTCGATTCCCGGTCGGGGCCCCTCCCCGGGCAGATGGAGCTCGTTAGCCCTGTAAGGCAATCCATCTACGTCCTGAGGACCTCGCTGCCACTGTCCAAGCGTGCTTGGCCCCGGCAGATGAACCTCAGGATTAAAGGGTGGGCTCAGTTCCGCGCACACTGTGTCTCACCTAAAAAAAAAAAATCCAATGCGCAGGCTGGAAGGTGGAAAGACCTTCCCCGGATCTTCGTTCGCGAAGAGACTGGCCATTATTATTTATGCTGTATCTGTTCTGCTGCTTTTCAAACCAGCAGGACGAGATGCAGGTCGTAGAAGTACTAGTTTAATTAATGTAAATGCTCAGTGGGGATAGCCATCTCCATCACTGGGTTTTTAAGCGACAAGACACTTAGAATCTGAGAGAAGAGAAACAAGACTTGCAGTTCTTGGTTTTCCCCTGCCCACTCCCTCCTCCTGCTTCCTGTAAAGCCAGGCAAAACTGAACTCCTCACCCTTTGGAAACCTTGTAGGTTATTTGATTTTTTTATTTCTGAGGATAGAGAACACATAGGTCATATTCTCAAACACTTCTCTGCAAACAGAAGTAGAAATGTGATAAACAGACAGCATTGGAAAGCCTGAGCTGAATTTTTCTATATTCAGCTCTATTATGGAACCTATTTGTGTGGGGATGAACTATTGCAGTCCTTTCATTTTGGACATTAAATTTCAAATGCATTGTAGTGACATCATCTTGCTTGCTTGAATAGCAGTTAAAGCATCTCTTGCTGTTTTTAGTCTCACAGTGACTTGCTGCATATTACTACTTTCTCTTGAGAATTTTGAGTTGTGTTTTTCACTATGTTTTGATATATCTCAAAAAAATTTATAAATAAAAATAAACCAAGTATTTTTTAAAACAAATCTTATTAAGTAAATAATTCATACTGCAAAGGGATGTTTTCTGGGGTTTGGAAATTGATTTTAAAATAACAAGAAAAAATAATTTTTTCCTGTTTTGATAGTAATATAAAATTACCTTACATAGAACCTTATTTTTCTCAAATCTAACATGTACAAGCCTAAGTATTAATGTGAAGAGAGTAACAACTACCAGAAGTATATACATATGCAGAAACAGTAATTTAACCTCTAAACAGAGAACACGATCAGAGTAGGTGTATCCAGCACCTTAGGTTAAATGTGAAGGTGTAAGGGGAGAAAACCTGTAACCTGTGTAGAAGAATATGTGTATGTAAATAGGGATAAAATTACTATAAGGCTTGCACGTATTGGAGGAGGGAGGGACAATGGGAAATAAAAGGTTAAAACCCCCACAATTACCCTTTAAGTTCCTAATACTATGTCTGAAACAAGTGATTAAGGTACTAGAAAAACAATGTTGGCAAAAAAAAATTACCATTAGGCTTTTGAAAGTCTGGAATGAGCTTTAGGCATAAGAAAAGTCTAATTTAGTCTTACATTTACAGAGGGTCCAAGACTTGGAAAACAAGGACTGGAAAGAATGGAACAAATTAAAAACAAGGCATGCTGATAGATTAGTTGGTCTTTGCTGGAATAAGAATTGTTTTGAAGTCTCAAACTGAATTTATGCAGAGCAAAATAGTGAAATTAATTTTTCAGTCACATTGGCAAGTAGAAAAGTAATTTTGGAACATTATGCTGAAAATAGATATTGACAAGTGCAAGAAAAACAATTTTCAGAGGAGCTGGGGAGAAGTAGTTACATACAAATAGTAGCCGGTGCCATTCAGGGTCAGATGTTGCAACAGGAGATTACCAGTATATGAAAGAGGATTTAGCAGCAGTGTATGTGTTGAGAGCACTCCCTATTAACCTCAGGAGTACTAAAGTGCAGTCTTCATGCAGGAGACTGGTATAACTAAGACGTCTCTATCTAAATCTGAATGCATATCACACTACATGATATGAGACAGTATTAATATGCTTAGGATCTTTGATAAATAAATAAATATATATGTAAATGACAAACCCTTGCCTTAGGTGTTTCCTTTTTCATATTTGAGCTTTTAAAAGCTTGACTGCTAAATTTGATCTAAGTTGCTTCCATTGAATAAACCTAACTTGCCTGACTTTGAGCAGGTTATATTTACTAAAGGGAATATGTAGAGGCTTCAGTGGGACAGGTCACAGAGATCTGGTCATTATTTCCAGCTCTTACATTGTCTAATTGCCTGTCGCTTTGGACATGATAATTTAACATTTTCAACCTTTGTCCTGCCTTGGTTAGAAAATGAAATTCTTTGGGGAAGAACTCTATTTTTATTTTCTTTTTAAGTGATACTTTGCCTATTGGTTTCCAGAGAATTCACTTCTCTTACCAGTACACTAATTACAACAGCATTAAACATGCTTCATTTAGCTGGAAGGAGATATTTTGAGCCTGTATTCACAAAAATATTTTTATTACCTAAAACACACTGACCTTGACTTAAGTAAGATAATGCAAATATTGCTTTTCAGTATTCATATATTTGAACCAAACCTACAACTTCATGCTTAATAATAATGAAAATGGAAATCTCTGTGCACATATTTGATTTCTATGCATATATTCTGGATGCATGACTTCTCTGCTTCAAACTAACATTTTGTATTTTGTTGATGTGCATTAATTCAAGATTTCTGTGAAAGAAGTAAGTAGGAATCACAAGATGATTCGCTTACTTTTTTTCTCTAAAAGCAATCAACACTGAATCTTGCTAAGCAGTCCCTGTACAGCAGAGGGAATTGCATTTGTGTAAAAAATGGATAAAAATACCTATTTATTTTTGAATTAAAAACTTTAGATTTGGAAGTATGTTACTTTCTTAAAACTTTTCTTCAGTTTGATGTTTGTCCTTTGCTATGTGCTTGTTAGCGCAAATGGTCTTGACTGGATTTCTTTGAGGTGTGCAGTGTTTGAGTACGTTAGCATTACAATTTGCCCATTTATGATTTGTGAAAATTTGATTTGAGCATGGCAGAAAATAATGAATATAAGGAGTAGATCAAAAACATGGCATTGAGCCTCTGAACAAGTACAAGTTCAAAACCAAAACAAAAAATACGTATAAAAATTTTCTGTTCCTGTGTTTTAAAAGTGATGCAGTTAACATCTAGAGAGTTATCTGTTTTCAGGTAAAATAATATATGCAAAGAATGTTCAAAATTACACAGCCCTGTTAAAGAACACTAGTGTTACTATAGGCTTCTTTGAAATCCTTAATGACTTTGTTGCTAGCACTTTAGAATCTGCTGAGTAGTTCTCACAAACTGTGGGCAGTTCTGTGGTACTTGAAAGAAATATGTTAACTTTACAATTGGTTAATCTGCACATAGCTTTAATCTTCAATTATGAGGATTAAATCATATAATTATAAGAGCTAATGTATCTAAATTAGTGCAAACTCTTACTATAATAGTTGCATCCCGTGGTGTTATGGGGAGTGAGTTGCACAGACTCTCAGTTCTAAAGGTCTCTAAAATGGCTGAACTTCCTTCACCTTTCAGTAAAAAATAAAGTTATATATACTGCTTATACCAAATAACATTTAGACAGGGGAATGCCAGATTTTGTATGAGTTTTTATTTTAATTGACAGTAAAAATTTTATATCTTTGAATCGTTTGGTTTGAAAAAGACCTCCAAGATCATTGAGTCCAACCACTGACCTTACCACCACCATGTTCACCACTAAACCATATCCCCAAACGCAACATTCATGCATTTTTAACACTAAATATGTGTAATACCATAGATTCTGAAGTATTTTTCAATTGTAAGGCTTTCTGATTGTAAAGCATGCTTGCACAGTTGTCTTTGAATTGCTGTAGGTGACTGAGTTGACGCTTGTAAATTGAGGTGACACTATCCCTATTTTGAATTGCTTTCTATATTATCTAGGAGCACTTACATAATCAATTATTTAGTGTGAAACAACTGGTAAGCAAGTGTTCATTTGATCATGCAGGCATATTTGACTGGTTCTTTCGATTTTTTCCAGGATGTTTTGAACTGATATCGCAACTGTGATGTCCTATTTTTTATTTTTGAATTTAAAGGTTATCCCACCGAAGGAGTGGAAGCCAAGAAAACATTATAATGATATTGAAGATTTGGTGATTCCTGCTCCAATTCAACAGATAGTCACTGGGCAGTCGGGGCTTTTCACACAGTACAACATTCAGAAAAAGCCCATGACAGTGAAGGAGTTCAAGCAGCTGGCCAACAGTAACAAGTATGTATGTCTTGCTTAGGAAGACAAGTATTTATCTTCACATATTGTGATTTCTTTGAGTTATGCAAGGCAAATGGTGATTTTTTTTTCCTTTTTTTTTTCTTTTCTTTTTTCCTGGCTCCTAGGGGTACAACAATGTGAATATTGTTTTTGTTTATATTATTGAAAGTTATCCGATACCATGACAGCAAGAAAGCATCCAGAAAAACTGGAGACATGATGCTTTCTGTCTTCCTTTTTTCTTTCTTTTCTAAAAGATGGTTATGTAGAAAATAGTGAAGACGATACAGCCTAACATCTGAGTTTTAATTTGATTACACCTATTCATGTTTAATATTTAATTCCTAGATACTGGAATGGCCTATCATCATGCAGTTCTGAAGAGAACCCAGCATTTTTGCATTAATCTAAGTTTTGGATTAATTTAAGAGAACTTAGCTGCATCCAGTGAATGTCTATGTTTTGGTTATGGATATTAAGGGAGGGGAAAAAGTGTTTATAGAGGACTAGGCGCTGTACTGACAAGTTTCAAATTGGTGAGCATTCTAAGGAGACAGAATGGATAGAAGGAATTCTTCCTTGTCCTGTTGACCACATGGAAAGAATACATTTTACTTCAGTATTTTCTCAAAACCAAGTGGAAATAGTTTCTGGGAGGTGAGTCAGAACATCTTAGAGAGAAAAGATACTTGAACAGAGGAAGGTAACACTGCCTTAGTTTGAAGCAAAGTTTGTCTCATAAGTTAATTGAGAAATTAAGGCATGAGAAGCTGCTATCAAGATCAGGAAAAACTAGGACATGAAAAGTTTTTAAGGAGACTCCTCAGCAATTATGTCCCATAATATATATGCCTTTATAATAGTGCAAAATGGATAATCTTTTTTCTTCAATTAAAATGGATTGGTATTTCCACCCTTATATTACTTGTGAAAAACTGTGTTTATCACACAGTATTCTTTCTATGGTAAGTGGAAGTGGGAACCTATTTTGTAGTTTTTAAAATTGATTAGTAACTTTGTGAGATGGGAATAAAACATAAGAACTCTATGGTATCTGATGTCATTTTCAGTGATACTTTTTCATAGATGTTTACATTTTGTTAACTCATAATAAAATGAGACACTAATTTTTTAAAATGCAAAACTAAAGATTTTAGTATGTATCATGATGTTTAAGTTTCTTATTCTTTATTTTGGACGATATTTTGGAAGTGTTTCTGATTTCAGTTTTCATGCTTTTTACTGAAATCAAATGACAACTTAGTTTCATGGTCAAAATTCAAAAAACAATTGGGAGGGATTCCTATCTATTACTCTTTGTATGTTGTTCTAAATATTTATCACTTCTCTTAAGAAAATGTGTCATATAACCTCCCATGACACTCTGAGTCTGTATTTATTATACTATCAGGTAGCTGAAAGCCTCTGTTCTCCCATAAAAATAATTTTGTTCCTTAATGGAGAAGACTTGTCTGTTGATGTCCCTTTTCTTGAGTATTGTTATCTATTAGATGTTACCTGTTTCCTTTGGGTAAGAGGCAATGGCCATGAACATCTAAATTAAATCATAGTTACCTTTAAAAAGATCATGTGTACTCAGTCTAATGGATTTCATCTCTTATTTGTTTAGACATGTGCAACTCACCATTGAACCAAAAAACTTATCTACTTGACCTCTGGGAAATAAGGGCATAGCTGCATCCTGTAATCAAGGAATTTATGTATGCATATTACTCAGTGCCAAGCAGAAATAAATAATCTGATTTCTGGAGTTATATCATAAGGAATAGTAAAACAACTGTCTTGTTGAGAATGCTTGGGTTAAGATGATTTTTTTAAGTTTTTTTGTCTCTGTTCAGAGTTATTACATGATGTAAGTGTACCTGGTCTACTTAAGTCCTGTATGTTTGGATTTTCTTTCTAGTTGTTCAAGTGTAGCATGTTGGCAGTTCTAATATGAAACTTCATTTCTCAGAGTTGCAATAAAGGGGGAGCAAATTTTCTGAGGACCTAAATATGGGAGAACAAAGGTCTGACAAAGGATCCCAATGCAAAGCTACTGATAGATGTTTCTATGGTAGTGTGCTTGTGTTGTGTTCCCACAAGATTTTACATAAGCATAACATATGTACATAAATGTATTTATGTGTATAAAAGTATATACATAAATATATTTAAGCATGTGTTTAGTAGGTGCTTTCAATTAAGCATGTAAGTGTGGTATCTTCTGTTGTTATAAAGGAGTAGAAAGTCCCTTAAATATTTTTTCTCTGCATTGTAGAATTTTTGGTACCAATTGTTTGAAATATTACAGCTTTTTTGAGGAGTTTTACTGGGGAAGAAAGAAGAGAAGAAACTACTGGTCTTGCCTGGCGTGGCTGATGCATGGGCTGACTTATAAATTTGAGTTGTTCTGAGGCAGGGTTATGCAAGACCTACATCTGTGTCTTTGCAGAGTTGGTGGTGAGGTGGGAAAATGATAGATACTTGTTATTTGCATGGCTTTTCCATGTGTGTTTTTGTGTGTAATGGAAATGAAAAGGAGAGGTTCAGCCAGTAGATAGTGCTGATGAGCTGCTGGGGGCTGAAGCAAATGTTTTTGGGGTAGGTGGATGACTTCACTTACTGGGGCTGCCAGGCAGAAGGTTCCATGATGTGGTTAATCATGACAATAAGAACTTAGAACAAGTAGCAATTCCTCTGTTTTGGCAAATTTGAAATAAAGTGATCTCTTAGAATTCAGTTTTCGGGTTCAAAAGCATGGTGCATTGTGAAGGTGGTTGTTGAACGACTGTGATGAACCTTTGCCTACTTCTTCCTCTGCAGATACCGCACCCCAAGATACACAGATTACGAAGATTTGGAGCGTAAATATTGGAGGAACTTGACTTTTGTGGCACCAATTTATGGAGCAGATATCAATGGGAGCATTTATGATGAAGTATGCATAGCTTTTTATGAAATTTATCTCTTCTAGCCCTCTTTTAAAGGGTACTGTACTTAAAGGATACAATTTTGTTTTGTGACTGAGAATCTATCTTTTGAAATCTTTGTGTTACTTACTTTAAAGACTCCAAGAAAGGTTGAAATTAACTCTACACCTGCAAGAGTCAGACAGTTCTGTCTTTAGACAATAGAATATTGCTACTCTTCCTGATCATCACTCCTCCCTTTCTTCACTTTGAACTCTCCAGAACTCTGAGATTACTTTGTACTTATTTATTTGTTCATAAACATTTTAGTGTGTATGTTTTCTTTGGACTTATGTGGAAATTTAGAGATATTTTAAATATCTCTAAAAGTTTTTACTTTAAAATTAGAAGATGAGATACTTTTATTTCTTCCTCTTTCACTGAGGAATATGATTAATAGTTGTACTTTATACATGCTTGGAATGCCTGCAGTTTCCTGGAAATGTGCTTACACTTACTGTTTACCTTTCAATTAAAACAGACAAAATTGAAGTTTCCTAAGGATATGAATTTTGCTGGTTACTTGCCAAGATCTCTATGGATAATAAAGGAACTCTTAATACAAATCTTATTATCCAAAGAATTACACAATAGTCGTTGATGTCTGTTAGGCTGTGTGAGTAATGATAGGAACTAGATTTGTCAAGGATTATTTAAGTAATGAGACTAACAGAAGAAATTTAGGCATTTCAGAAAAAAATTGAGGATTTGAAAAATACAGGACAAACTTTTATTAAAAGAATCTACCATGTGTGGAGTTCTTGAGTTATTTCATGTTCTATGTAACTACCTTCTCCAGTCGTTAAAAAAAAAAAGTGTGATTTCCCTGTGGCAGATGGTCTGAGGCTCTACTAGTATTTCACATTTCTTCACAGAAAACAGATGACTTGAGAACTGTCCAAAGATAAATATGGTCAGCCAATATGGCTGAGGGCAATTCAATTTTTGCACTGAGTTATGTCATCTTTGAAACATAGCTATGTTTGTCCAGTGGTCTGTTGTTTAGAGAAAGTAGCAACTCCAGATTATATTTTGAGTCCAAATAGCTATTTTGAAAAATAAGTTAGAGAATAATTGAAGATTCTGATTTGGAATGTTTTGGCGAAGAGCCATTCTAGGTGGCTGTTGCTTTGTAGAGACCGAAATGAGGCACAGGAAAACAGTTTTTGTTTTAAGAAATAGATGCTTTCCCTTTTTCTTCTCAGATTTTTTTTTTTTTAATTTACTATTGGCAGATAATGCCTTATGGTATAACTTTTTACAAATGTATGCTTTGTTTTGGTTGTGTTTGCTTTCTTCTTCAGTATCTTAAGTTTACTGTTGCATGAGCAACATTTCCAAAGGAATGAAGGCAGTTATGTCCAATTTGGAAATGCTGACTGGCCAAAGAGAAGGTCAGAGATTTCCTTCTCATGGAATTGCAGTCTCATTAATTTGGGAAGCTGAGGAAGGGAGGTTAGAAAAAAAAACAAATGGGGAAGCGAGAAGGGCAGCATTCAGAGATGCTAACTCAGATGCTACATGCATAGGAGAAAGAAACAAAGCATTGAAACGAAGCTGCAGAGAGTGGTGGAGGAAAGCAATAAAAAATTGACAAAAACCTTGATGCATGTGATAAAATGGGTACTATTTAAATATAAATAAAGAGGAGGAATGTTAGTGAAAGCAATTGACACTGAGAAGTGTGAACAGACTTGAGCAGTTAATGTCAGCCACTGTGATGGTGTACAGCCCAGTGGTGTATAAAGGAAAAGAAAAAAATCCTGATACCAAACTGTTGGTGAGAAAGTTACAGTGCCTCTGATCAAAATGTTGTCTTAGAATAATTCTGCCACAGTTACTTTTTGGCCAGCAGATGGTGTACTTGCACAACTAATATTTTTCATGTCTTAATGCCTGAAGATAGTTCTAAGAAAGGATCTTCTTGATTCTGTTTGAAATTAGAGGTTGTTCTTATGTTTCGTTCAGCTTCCTTTAGGATTGTCATTATTTGTGGAAAGGAGATGAATACAAATTACTGACATTTTGGACACCTTATGGGAGAAAGGGAATGGTGGGATTAATTTGTCATAGCAGCCTATTTGCGAGAAACAAAACAAATGCATGCTTCCTACAAGATGCATTTTAAAGAAAAAAATTTGTTGGAGATGTTACATTTCAGGTAAATATCTGACAGAATTTCAGGTAGAAAACCACAAGGAACTTAGTGAAAATGTGATTTATATTTATACATGGGCCATCAAAATTAGTGAGAAATACTGCTGTGCTTTACATCCATATTCTTCAGTTTAACAGTTTAATAAATACATTTTCTTTTCCATTGGTGACAGTCAATTTTATATTGAGACACCTGTATCTGAAACATGATGAAGCCTTAATTTTTACTATTTGTATTGTTTAAGAAACATTACTGTTACTTGTGAATCCAGCACTTTGCTGGCATTGTGCCAGAGAGATCACAGATCTTGTAGTATTTGTTTTTTTTAAACCAGAGAATTACAGGTTCTGAGGAGTTTGGAAAACGGGGCAAATTTATAAAGCCTATGTCATATGGAATAGAAAAACAACTAATGAAACAAAGAAATAAAGCACAAACAAAAGAAGAACAAAACTGCCAATGCATGCTTTGAAATTTGACAACTACTATCAATGATTCAAAGTTTACCCTTGTGATGTTTGAATTATTACAGAATCTCTGTTATTTATTTAAAATATATTAATTGACATCTTTGAACTCAGATTGTTTGCAAATAAGGAAATAATCTATGAGAACAAGTGTTCTGTGCACTCTGTAAAGCTTCATAGAGAATAAATTCCAGATCAGGGTTTGCTTGAAATACTATTATGTGCTGTATGCATTCTAATTGCTGTTAAATTTAATTGCAGTACTTTGTAGGATAATGACAATGTAGGTGACTCAAGAAAAGCATGACCCCTACGTTGACTGATCTAGCTATTAGGCAGGGAAAATCTTCCTGGTCCCTTTTTGTCCCTCTTTCCCCTTTCCCTTTGGGGGATGTTTGGATTCCCTTCTCTGTGTACATAGCATTTTAATTGTATATAACTGTAATAAACATAAAATATATATTTTTATATAATTAGATTGATTTCAGGCTCTTCAATTTTATGTTTGCCTTTTCCCCCCCTCCCCCCCCCCCCCTTTGCCCTAAGAAAAGAAGGGAGGGGGAAGGGGTTGTTACTGTGGGTTTGGGCATTTGGCAGGGAGCCGGGTCTGAACCATCACACACATATAAATATTGTTTTGTGTCTCTCTCACCACTCAGCTGCTGTCTTGAAGGTAGCACTTTACTTCCATTTTTCTTCTTTTAGTTTTATTTCTCCTGATAAGATGATTTCTAGTCCCTACCTTCTTCCATATATAAGGTGTGGAGAGCATATTTGGTTGATTCAGTGGAACTTGTAGTTTAACAGTTGGTTATTTTTGCTAAATTGTAGGTACAGCTCTAATGTGTTACTTGCTGTAGCAACAGATGTACTTGAATTTCCTGCTATATCCCTGGACAGAGTAGCCAACATGATTTTAAAGCAGCACTTGACATTGTGTGTAGAATTTGGATTCTAAATGAGTTAGAGATGGCACTTTAGGAGGACTGTCTCCTATGGGAGAGACCCCATGTTGGAGCAGTGGAAGAAGTGGCAGAGGCAATGTGGGATGAACTGAAGGCAACCTTTCTTCTCCGTTTCCCTGAGCTGCTTGTGTGGGAGTGGGAGATACAGGTGGAGGGAGCGAGGGTTGGGTTGAGAATTCTGGAGTGAAACTGAGATAAGTCTACTCTTCTTCTCTGGATTAAAAACTATACGGTCAGGCCTAGAGAGTGGTGGTGAATGGAGTTAAATCCAGCTGGAGACCAGTCACAAGTAGTGTTCCTTGGGCTCAGTATTTGGGCCAGTCCCGTTTTGTGTCTTTTTTGATGATCTGTACAAGGGGATTGAGGGGCACCTTCAAGTCAGTTTGGAGATCACAAACTGGGCAAGGGTGTTGCTCTACTGGAGGGTAGAAAGGCTCTGCAGAGGGGTCTGGCCTGGCTGGATTGATGGTGTGAGGTCAATAGAATGAGATTCAACAAGGCTGAGTCGTGCCCTTGGGTCACAGAAACCCCAGGCAGTACTACAGGAAGAGTGCCTGGAAAGCTGCCAGGCGGAAAAGGACAGGGACAGCTTCTGAACATGAGCCAGCAGTGTGCCCAGGTGGCTAAAAAGGCTGATAGCATCCTGGCTTGTATCAGCAGTAGTGTGGCCATCAGGCCTAGGTAAGTGATTGTCCCCCTGTACTTGGTACTTGTGAGACCACACCTCAAATCCTGTGTTCAGTTTTGGCCCCTCACTGCGAGAAGGACATTGAGTTGCTGAAGCGTTTCAAGAGAAGGGCAACAAAGCTGGTAAAGGGTCTGGAACATAAATCCCATGAAGTAACAAGCAACAGGACAGTAGGAAACTGCCTCAAGCTGTGCCAGTGGGAAAGTTTACCTTGGAATTTTAGAAAACATTTGTTCAAGGAAAGGATTACTAATCACAAGAGCAGGCTGATCTTCAAGGTGTTTCCCAACCTAAATGATTCTATGATTCCATGATGTTCTTTTTCTGTGGTCTACTCATGGTTGAGATCACTGTGAGCAGTCACTAAGATGTTTGGTTCTAGTCTGCCTTTCCAAAGAATCTACTTGCCTACCCTTGAAAAGGGTGCTGCAAAAGCAATGGTTATATCATTAAAAATGCTGAGAAGTAAACCCAAATATAATGAGGGAGATTGTTTGTATTTCCTAATCTATATGTTTATGGTGCCCAGATTCTGTTCGCAGCATTTTTCTTTTTGTATTTTAACGACTTTGAAGGCAGAGCAAAAACCCCGCAGTTTATTATGTCCATTGGCATAAGTGAATGATTGTTTGGAGTGAGAAGTGGTTTACCAAGCACAAATATTTCTGTAATGTTTCCCCTCCTGCTTTCCACTCTGACTCTTGAATTGTTTTTTTTTTTACTCTTCTTTATTATTTGAGGTATTACAGTCAGTCATAAGGGCTTTTTAATCTTATTTGTACAACTAATATCTTGTTTGCCAGATTAATATTGAAATGAAGTCCTGTGATTTATCACAGGAAAAATTAAACACTGAGAAAAGATTGTTTGTAACCTTATTTTTAAAAATCCGTATTCTTAAAAATAGAATACATCAAAGTCTTGGCTGATTTGTTTAAATGAAGTACAAAGAGTAGCATCATGTCACTTTCTAAAGTACTTATGAAAAAATGAAATTAATAAAAAATCATTACATTTGGAGCCTATTTTATTCTTATGTGCAAAGAGGTGTCTGCTTACAACCCTGAACTTCACATTTTACCAGTATACTGAGATTTAGATTACGCTTAGTCTTTGAAAAGACGGTGGGTCAGCTCCTTCCAAACTGTGCAAGTGTTCAGATGAGAACTTACTGTTAAGTGTCCCAGTTCATCTCCATATTGTGTTAAAAGCAGATGCAAAAGCTATTAAGAGTAAGAAAAACTCTGGATAGTAATTTACAGTAAGTTTGAATCATCTTCAAAATTAGTGGATATTGGAATAATGGTCTTCTTTATAAACCATTATTTACCTTATAATATTTCTGTCAGGAAATATAAGGTAAATGTAATATATGTAGCAATGATCACAATTGTTAAGTTGTTTCAAGTCTATTTAAAGAAAGTAAAATATATTGTTTTCAGCTTTTTTCCAGATATTAGATTATGTGGTACAGTTGTCCAGGTATTCTTTAAACAATCTACCATTAGAAATGTGGATAAATTAAAAATATTATCTTTACACATTCTCTTGAAGCTATTATAATCTTTAGATATTATTGTGATATTTTGAGCAGAAGAAATATTTTGTATTTTCCTAACATTGAATAGGTTATAGCATCTGAATGTATTTGTAAGAAACTACCAGATACACCTTGTGGTCAAGTGATATATATACTGGTGTTCTAACAATGGCTATTAAACATAGCATAAGCTGCTAAAATATACTTTAATTTTGAGAAGTGTTGTTATGTATTCACCTGTTAAACTGCTCTTTTACAGCAATGATTCTTTTAGTGTGCATTGCAATTGTTAAGTCTGAAACTAGTTACATAACTACTGAAAAAGTCAGAACCGCTACTTTACTTTAAAAATCGTGTAAGCATTAATGTTTTGGATTATTAAAAAAAGAGAAGTCTGTGAGGTAAAGCAACATATATAATAATAATTTGTGATAATTAATGGTAACGATTTAGGCATAAATATAAAATTGATTTAATTTTTTAAGTTCCAGGAATTAGCAGGAGTGGAAATGAATCAGTGTGACTTTAGTGCTTTGGCCAGTCTGAGTGAATATTTCCTTTTGAGCTAAGAGGACTTGTCCAAAATAGTCTGCAGGAGAAGGAAATAGCTCATGTATCTTGTGTAGAAGTTGTGGATTGTGTATTTGGTATTTTTGATATTTTGAAACAAGGTATTTGTCCTAGGATTTGTCTCCATGGGAGGATTTGCTTTTGTTTGAGGACAAACCATTAGCAGTTTCCTTGGTGACTAGTGATACGTCTTAACAGAATGTGAAAACTTGAGATTTGTTATTAAAAAAGTAATTTATTCTCTTATCCATTACTTAATTCTTAGTAATAGAAGACTAAAATTTCAGGCTGTTATGGTTGCTAAGAGTTACGTGTGTGAAAAAATGTGATAGGATAAATAACAGGTAAAAAAGTCCATGGGATACTATTGAGTAGAAAGGTAAACACTTCTGTCTGAAGAAACCTTCAAACTGCAAATTGCTGTGGGTTGTAAGGGTATTCGGGGGAATTACTGCTTTAGTTACGCTGTTTCCTGTCTATTTTTGGCCACTGTCAGAGTAGCCTGCTTAGATTAGCAGTTGATTTTTCTGAGTATTTATTGTTTTCCTCCAACCCTCTGTATGTGCCTACCTGGTTGAGTCATTGCTCTTAGTTTGGTGAATTAATTTGTTTCTTCAAATGGACTGCACAATTTGTAAACAGAGAAACATTTTATGTGTTTTTTAAAAAAATAAAATTTTTAAACTGATTTGAGGACTTACTGGTTAAAGTTGTCTCTTCAAACAGACATTTTATTTTATAGTTCTGTTAACTTGCTGCTGCTGCTTTTTGTATTTGAAAGGTGCAGATTTTAGCAGCATCTACTGTTTAAGTTCATATTAGTGGGTTTTTTTATCATATGTATTTTATTTTAATTTTAAAATTTCAGGTGCCTTTATGTTTTAACAAATACATCAAAACCAAGGCTTCAGTTTTAAAAGAACAAAAATTACTGTCTGAATTGAATTCATTCTGTACTTCATTCATCCTTTACTCCTTTGTAAAATTCCAGATAACTTAGTGTTTCTTAATAAGTGAAATAGTCATAGAGGCAGTCAGAAGTACCTGTTCAGTGACAATTCTGAACTTCATAGACATTACCTTCTTATATATCAGTTCTAGTTGCTACATACTTAACATGCTTGACATAAAAATCTCAAAAATTGAGGAAATGAAAACTGAGAGTATTAAATTTTCATTACTTCTTGCTTTAACCTATATTATTACTTCTCCAGCTGCCCAACTATTGAAATGTCATCATGTTACTTAATCAGATGCATCAGGTCTGTAGTCTGCCATCAGTTTGTTCCCCGAACAGTAAGATTACCAGAACTGTAGTTTCAGTGCTGGGTGGTGTGCAGAGTAGCTTATGGTTAAGGTATGCTTAGGGGCTGTCTTTCCAAGAAAACTTGCCTGAATTGAGTTTTTAATAGTTTTGATTATATTTCTTGTTTTTCTGACTGCTTCAGCACCAGCTAATTTCTTCCCTAGAGGTGCTAATAATTGCTGTTATAATGAAGTCTAATCTTTTTCTCTTCAGTTTTGTAGCTTTGATCTTGGTTATACTGTCTCTTACATACCGTATTACCTGGAATTAGAATTGCACTTTGTGGTTGAATCTGAAACACAGCAAAGACCACTTGCATTGCTTTCTGAATGACTTTTAATATACAGGTTTTATAGGCAGTAATGTAAGGAAACAGCTTGAATCCCAAGAATTAATAGGTTTCTGCAGTACATCATTATGATTAGAAATATATCTGAAGTGACGTAATCGTTTTGTGGTTGTATACTTTACAGAGAAATAGTAAATTTATGCATGTAAAATAAATTTTTAAATCATTTTTCATACTGTTTGGTATTACTTTTTAAGTTATAAAAAAACATAGATAGGCCCAGTGAAATTTAATGGCTTCCAACTATCAACTAATCAAAGACTTTGTCTGCAGCTGTTGTTTCTATTACGTACGGTGTTTTAAGCCAGGTTAGAATGGATGTACTAAGTGTAAACCAAATATGAACTTCCTTATATTCTCTGCCCTGAACACCTGAACATCTCAGACTTGTGACCTGATTTAAAACTTACTAAGGTCAAGAGAATTTTTCTTCGAGTAACTTCAGCTGTCTTCTCAAGTGCTTACAAATTGTATGAACTTACAATCTTTTGAAGGGCTAGATCAGGTGTGCATTTTTTGACTGAGACTATTAGATAAAGTTGCATTGCTTGATAAACTTACTAATTTATTTTTTTATGTATCTTTTTCAGGGTGTTAAGGAATGGAATATTGCCCATCTTAACACAATATTGGATGTTGTAGGAGAAGAGTGTGGAATTTCTATCGAGGGTGTAAATACACCATATCTGTATTTTGGGATGTGGAAAACGACATTTGCGTGGCACACTGAAGACATGGATCTCTACAGTATTAATTATCTCCATTTCGGGGAGCCAAAGTCATGGCAAGTTTAAATTTTTGTGAAAGATGATGTCTTTTTCAGCTGACTAAACCGTCTGTTGATGGGGTACAATTGCTTACAGTGGTAAACTTTATGAGAAAGCTAAGATGGTTTTGTGAGGGTTTTTTTTAAAGCTCAGTACTATGAAATATGTGACGTTGGTGATGAACATCACTCCAACGCAGTCTTTGATTTTTGAAGAAAAAGACAAATAAGTACATAACGCTTATTGGAGTTCAACAGAAAAATATTTTAAAGGTCCAATATGGGAAGCTTAAGGAGTTGGGAACTTCTTGAGGAACTTCTGAAAGAGCTCTTTGAAATCAGTTTCTTTGGTTCAGTATCCCTCAGGACTGCACAACATATTTTGTATTTAACATGCCTTTAATTGCTTCTTTGGATCAGGGTCATTCTCTAATGTGAAGTCAATAGGACCAGTAGGAGGTAAGATCCAGTGTTAAAGGTACTTCTACTATCCTTGCTCTATAATCTTAAATTTTTGGTTGAACAGCTGTAATAGACAAATTGGTTTAGTATCGTACTTATCAATTGTGACATATGTGTGCCCAAAGTATACAGAAAGAATGTTATCCATTTGTTCATAAGATCTCTTTTTTTCTCCCAAAATACCTGTGAAGAGAACATAAAATCATTAGAAAGATAGGATATATTATGCTTAGTTCAGTTCTGGGGGCTTCTAGTCATCCAAACTTGGGTGGAAAATTTGTAGCTGGTAATTCCATAAACCATTATTTATTATTTTTATATTCATACAAAATAAAAATACCTATGTAACATTATGTATTTATACTCTGAGGGTTGTCAGATGCTGCTTCTTAGGTAATTGCTTTAAGTTTACCTGATTTTACAGTGCGTCTCTTGAGTAAAGGCAGAGAAGGTATACAACCTGTTGTGGTAAAATGCAGATCGATTTTTAAATTGATAAATATGAAATTACTACTTTTATAAAATTAGCCACACTAAGAAAGTGTTAGCCGTAAGATCAATATTTTTGATAAAAATTAGTGTAAAGATAGATGATTTTAAAATGTTCTGACATGATAGGACACTTCTAACTAATACAATGATTGCCCAATTTTTTTTTTTTTTGCTTCTTAGGAATTTAAAAAGTGCTATTTGAAGAAAATCTCACTACATATTGCGAAATTCCAAGAGTAGAGACATTTACTTAAACCCTAAAGTCCTTAGGCATAATGGAAAGAAGATAGGAAATCTTCTCTTCTTCAAGTATTTTGAAGGAGGTGTGAGTTGATAATTGGATAAATGCTTTTCTAGTTTATAGGTAATTGTTTACATAATGAATGAACAAAGTCATTAAACACTGACCTTTTCGTCTTTTGAAAAAATAACAGAGGATAGAAATTAATTTTCTGGGCCACATTGGCCCATATTTTTAGGAAATGCAGCACTATAAAAAAATTGAATGAAAGATAACGAAAGATCTGATTTACACTTGTGCCTTTACTTTAGGAATCCTGCAGTAATTTATGCTAAAGCTTCATATATCAGTAAAATGTGTCTTGTGTAAATGTGATATTAGTACAATGTTTTGTTCAAGAAAGTTGAGCGTGAGCCGAATCTTAGGATACGTAAAGATCTTGTCTACTCCTAAATTTGAACTGATTTGACAAATTTACTTAGTAAAACCAAGTAAGTTGACATGTACAGTAGTAATACATACTTTCTAGTTTTAAAAGGTACATGGTGTTCTTCAAGACAGCCACACTGGTCCTACGGAGAACTAATATGCAGTGTACGTTCTCTGCATTGAGAAAGGACAACCACTTCTCTCTGAGAACCACAAAGAGAACTTGTGGGTAGCAGCTAAATCTAACTGCTATGGCAGTCTTTATGGAATTGAAGCTTTCTTCACTGTTTAGGTATACATTAACTTTCATTGCTTATACTCTGCACTTCCAAGAGGTACGCAAAGAAATCTGAAGTTTTATGTATACTGATTCCTTCATTGACTGCCTCACATGAAACACAAGGGAAAAGTGTGTCTGATAAACACTTGCAAAATCAGGGCTAGGACTGTTTTTGTGTTTATGTATATATTTGTGTAATACATATGTTTTATAGATTCTTTAACTTTTAAAATAGTGCTACAGAGTGAAAATTGAAGGAGAGAAAAGAACGTTAAAGCTCTGAAACAGATTATTATGAGGGCAGAAGAGAGGGAAATAGGTTGAGGAAAGATTTACTGAAAAGTAGAATAGAGACAATTAAAATTGCCATTAGGCAGAATTTTTACTGCAATTCTCCTTTTGTATTTTTTTTCCGAGTTGAAAAATCTTGAAGATGGTACCTCATTTTACATCACAGTTTCTTAGAAAAGGTCTTAGTAGGAAGATGAACTACTGGTGTTATTGATGATCTACTTTATTAATTCAGTTCTTTCTTGATACGATGTTTTATGTAATGGTATCTGTGAACTGTTTATTAGTATTAAAAATGTCTTCATTCTGTCATTTGTTGTTAAATATTTTCTGCTGTTGTAATTTTTGTTTTGAGGGTATTGGCCCTTACTAAAGAGAATTTATTTTTGTTTTGTGCACTAATTTGAGGAATTTTGTAATGTTAAACTGTTCAACTTTGGGAAATTCATGCCTAGCATAGAGCAGAATTTTGTTATTAGTTCAAATGTTAGACTAGTAGTATGTATACGGTACCCTTGGTTAAAATATAGATAATGCTTCAATTTACCTTACAAATTTTTGAATTAAAAAAATCTGAATAAAATATATTTTTAAAAAAGTAATTCTGGGTTTATGAAGTATCTGAAAGCAAGGCTTACTCTTTGTGCCAATTACCTCACGAAAAAATGGTACTAAATTTTTTTAAGTGTTAAAATGACACAAATCTTCTTTAAGAGTATTAATAATGAATATGTGGAAGTATTTCTTAAACAGGCATAAATTAATTATTTTCATAGTAGTGTGGGTATTTAAAATATAATACTAATTGGACTAACTTATTTTTAAAAAAATTTTGTTTTAAAGAAGAGTAGTAAAGATGTGCAGAAAATATATTATTTTACTTTAGAAAGTAAAATTTTAAAAAATTGTGCTTATTTTTTTCCACCTTTTATGTCTGAGGGTGGAGATTTGAAATCTTTTCTTCATGAAGAACCAGAGTTTTTTACTTAGCACTGAGAGTGGCATAGTATAAATTTGTAGTATAATACAAACAATAATTTATGTATCAGTTTGTACCTTTTCTGTGGCATCTCGTCTGGTCTTCACTGTGGCCTTTCCAAAGACTGGAAATGATAAGACACAATATGTTATGGTAAAAACCCCTCCTGTTTAGCAAGGTATTTCATAAACAACAAAATGCCTTGCAGGGCTGGTCAGTCATAAAGTAAATGAGGATATATACTACAGAAAGAGAAGATGATTCCATCTTTGTAGCGATGTCAAGAAGAAGAGACCAGATTGTTGAAGAGAGAATGCTTAGACAGCCAAAATTAGATAGATTAGGAGAGTTAGACTGTGCCCCACAATTTACTTAGGATGTAAGAGGAAATGGTTCTGTGGTGACATTCAGAATAAAGTAGAGATTTAGGTTCAGGAGTTCTCATGATTTCAGTAGGTATAGGATAGTGAGAAAACTGATATCCAGGTTGCCTAGAATTTGTACCATGAGCAACATTACTGTCCCTCTTGATTGTGCTGACTAATCTGCTTTCATGGATTTGCCAATGTAGAATGTGTACCAACATCTTCTCATGAAGTGGAAAAATCAGGATAGTTAGTTACATGGTAAAGGGTGTGGAAGTCTTTAAAATGTGATTTTATTTCAGATTTTGCATCCCAGTAGCAGAACAGAAAGAAATGGGATTCTAAGTATGATGGGAAAAAAATGGGTGGTGTTCTGATATTAGTAATAGACAAAATTACAGACAAAAAAGGTGAAGAAGGAAAAGCATATTCAGACTGATGCTAACATTGTATAATTTGAGAACAAACATGGCACTAGAGTAAATGGATTCAAAGAGACTCAGCTAGGTCCTTACAGGGTCTTCTGGGTAGGATTAACAGGACTTTCAGCGTGATCAGCAGCTGCTGACAAAAACTAGTTAAAATCTGGACAGGTGATTCTAAGTTCAGCACAAGTTGTGCATTCTGTTGACAGAAGTGACATGTTTCCTAGTTAGATTCTATACCTGGGAAACAAAACAAACTCAGAAAATTACAGAAAAATCCAAACCTTTAGTGTGAGAAATAGGAATAATGGGAGGTGGAGGGACATTTATGCTCAAAGTAGAAGAGGTGAGGATTAGTTACACTTCTTGCTGCAAATTGTCACAAAAGTTACAAATAAGAATATTGTGAGTCACAGAGATGACAGTAGTCAAATAAGGACTCTGATTGTAAAAAGGAAGCTATAATGAAACAGTGTAGTGATTAGTCAGCAGCCTGAAAAGGTTATTGTGCTTGAAACTGAGCATAGTTGCAGTTCTCCAGAAAGAGGAGGAACTTTGCTGAGGGATTAGAAGAAAAGAGAGGTTTTGTTTGTTTTGTTTTTCCCCTGTGGAAAAAAAACTACAAATGCAGGAAAAGTCAGGTGGTATTACCCTGTCAGTATATAAGATGGACTTAGCAGTTTGTTGAAGTATTTAACATCATGCTAAGTTTGCTTGCGGCTGATGCTGTTAATTATTACCTGTGTGTGCACCTGGTTTACGAAAAACAGAACCCAAATTGTTTCTCATTGTCACTGGTCACTGACACGAGAATGATTGGGTGAATACAAGTGGCTTCTGGTGTGATGACCATCTTGGTTGGCTGAGTAGTTTTTGCACAATAAAGCAATGATTTGTTGTTTTTGGTGTGATTATTTAAAGCATACTGAGAAATCGTTTAGAAACATTACTCTTGAAAACATATACATAAATGTTTAACAATTAAAAGTTAATGGCTTAGATTTAATATTTATTTCTTATTTGTGGTTATCTTGTCACCAATAGCTTTGATTTACTAAACTAATATGTATTTCGGAAGATCTTTTTGAACAATACTCGACAAATACACGTACGGTATTTTTTCTGTCCTTGTAGTATGACTAGCAATGAACAGCAACTCTTCAGCTTCTATCTGTCTTTTCATAATATTTAACAAGAGTTTCTTCCTGAACTAATAAAATTATAGTTAGCATCAACATTTCCCTTCTTGTGTTTTCTTGCCTTTTTGTCTGTTTCTTCACTTGTTATCCAATAAAAGCTCTTTCTATCTCTTAGTTATTTACCTTTTAATGTCCATTACATTTGCTTTAAAGTGGGTTAGGCTAGGCCTTAAGATATGAGAAGTCAAACAAATGTAGCTAAAAGAAAGATGGACACAAAAATGACAAAAAATATTTTTCCGTAAGCTTTTATCTGCTCAAATTCTCATATAAGGTAGCTGTTGAGACTAAAAGTGAATACTTTTTCCTCTGACTTGGTCTTCAAACTTGAGTTTGGGAGTTTTTTGTTTAATGTACAGTCGACCAGGAATCCAGCAAGATTCATGTCACTCAGTTTTCTAATAAATTCTCTTAGGAACCAATCCCAAAGTGTCTCAAGACTGACTTTGGGACTCCTCATGTGTGAAAGTGCAAAGGTGGTCTGTCTCCATTTATTAGTCCTTGTCTTAGCTGTGAGCAACAACCAATAGCAACAGTGGGAAGAGGTAAAGGATTGAGGAGTAGATATTACCACAGACCTCAAATGAAGACTATGAGAAACACCAACTTGCACTGAATGTATTGTATTGCTTTGTAACTGTAGATTATGTAAATAGATAGCATAGTCAAGTTAAATCTTATCTTTCCAAGAGACTTTTTGAGAGCTCAGTTATTCAGTTTTGCATTTTTGTAATACTGACAAGTACTTACGTGTACAAATGGAGGTATGTGGCTACATATTATCACTAAATTGTAGTAACATACCTTTGCAGGAGAAACTTTTTAGGAAGAATACCAATCCAGTTAAAGTCAAGGAAAGCAAAGCACAGTATTCAGTTCTATAATTTTTTTTTAGACATAAACACTGTCTGTTCATGTTTTTTTACTTCATGGTGTTGTGTATTTAATGGCATACACTACAGTGAATAATTCTAAACATACCTTCTTTCTCTGTTGGAGTGTGAAAGATGGCAAACATATAGTTCAGATTAGTATGGATACACTGATGTGTGTGTAATACAGACTGGAGAACAGCCACAGGCACTTTAGAAATACAAATGGAGAGAAACAAAATACATTTTCCTAAGACAGTGAAATTCTGATTAAAACTGCAAACGTTGAACATAGTCAAGCTGAAAGCCTCTCTGTTTAATACCTTTGAACAGGGTTGCCAGTAGGCATGTGTTTTGCTATGGTTCAACTTACAGAGCACTGACTCCTCTAGTGGTTTTCTTTCCATGCAACTGTTTCAGTTACAATAGAGTAAAATTGTAGAATTGTATTGTGTGTGCAAAACAGAGCTTGAGGTAGGGAGATGCTTATTTCTTGTGCAAAATGAGGGCCCTAGGTCATTCACTTGCTTGACCGAGTCTGAGTCAGGGGAGATGAATGAAATGTGTTCACAGTGTAGTAGGAGAAAAAAGCTCTATGTTGACTTAGTTTAACAATGTGGATTTGGACTATGTTCTACAGCTGAATATACATTTTCTTTTCTTAAACATATTTTTTTATAGAGAAGAATCAATCTAATGCTATTGCAATATTAAACTGAAACAAAAGCCTATTATATCATATATTAAATTAGCTAAAGTCAGTAATACTACTTAAAACATACCATATATCTAGGAAGTGCAGTAAATATGTTAATAATAAACAAAAGTAGAAAGAAAACAGCTTTTCAAAAGTTTGCTGTTTTTTGTCTTCAGTGAACACTAAAAATCACTTGAGATTTATTCCAGTTCTTTTGTACTGTTACTGGGTTGTTGCAGATAGCATGTGGAATTTTTTAAAAATTAATTTATTCTAAGCACAGAGGGGTTCTAAGATATATAAAATTCTTTTAAGTCTATTTTTTAATAATCCTAAACTCTTAATTGTAATGATTCTACATTGGCAAGTAGCCCTTTTATTCCACAGCACTGGCTATAGGCAAAAGTAGAGACATTAAACAGTCATATTTTTCTGTTGAATCCTTGTGTCTTTTGAAGCATACTAAAATTCAAAGAAATTAAACTTGTATAAATTGGACTTATTTTTTGTGGTTTTGTTCCATTTGGAAAATGAAAGTATATGTATCTTTTTTAACTGGAGTAGTTTAATAATATGAAGCATTGTCGATGTGTACATGACTTTAAATAGTGACTATAACATTTTTGCACTACATAATGCAATGTTTAAAATAGAAATAAGCTAATATTTTTCTCAAAATCAAACCCCAAAACCCTACCTCCATATTTTTAACTTAGATATTGGTATATTTTTTTTTTCTATACAAATTTTCAGTCTTTAATATTTTTGACTTCTGTATTCTTAGGTATTTATCATACATGAGAGATGGCTTTTGTGATAATTATGTCTTTAAGCATTTCATCCTTTTCTTTATGTGAATTTTAGGTATGCTATTCCTCCAGAGCATGGAAAACGGCTTGAAAGACTGGCTCAAGGTAGTATTTTCAATATTTCCATATGTAAGATGTTTGAAGGACAAACATCCAACAAAGTAAAAAACATTGTCCTTGTCTCACCTACTGTGTTTTATTACTTAATGCTGTGTTACTTTTATCTGTCTACGGTGTTACTGCAAACAAGGAACACTCTGTAGTGCTCTGAGGAATTCTTTAGAAATAGAATAGTTTTTTTTTTCTTCCCTTAGACTTTTATTTTGTACTGGCGTTTTTAGCTTGGTGCAACTTATGAAAATGAGGCTTACTATTTTGTTGTTCATTAGATTTTCATTGCTAGTATCTTTGTCTCCTCTGTGCCCTTGCTCTTTCTTGTTGTAGCTTCTTTTCTTCAGTAACTTTTTGAATCCTAATTTATTAGCAAATTCAATATATCTAAATTTGAAGACAGACAAGTCTCAAGAAGGTTTATCAAAGTTAATGACTGGGTAGAGGATGGAGTCTTAGTTAGTACCTCTGCAAAGGGGGAAGCACACAAAATGTACAAACAGTAAATCTTATTTTTTACCAGCTTTCTGACCAGTGAATATATAAATCCCCTTTAGCTAAAGTGTGTACTGGGTTTTGCCTTCCAGAGGTGTTGGGAACATTTGTGAAAAAGGAGCAGGGCTACTGTTGTAGCCCTGTACTTTAGTTTTAAAGGATAACAATCATGAGTCTATAGGAAAATTCTCCCGCAGTAATTTTGCTTTACTTTCGATACTACACCTCTGTTTTTGTTTCTAAAAAAAAAAGTGCAACTTGTGAACATGGGAATAATTAGGGATGTTTCTTGGCCTGGGAGTCCAGGTTTTTAGCTTGCTATTAACCATAATACATAAAGAATGCTATTGCAATTTCCTAATAGATATTGTGTATCATAACCAAATTCTGAAAATTTTTGTACATTTTGGTTTTCATACTCCTTTCTTTTTTTTTTTTTTTTTTTTTTTTTTTTTTTTTTTTTTTTTTTTTTTTTTTTTTTTTTTTTTTTTTTTTTTTTTTTTTTTTTTTTTTTTTTTT